ACTAAATTTAGTTGAAAAAGCAATTAGACAGTTGAGATCTTTATTTGTGAGCCAAATTTATAACCTTATATTCGAAAACAACACAAAATCATAGCTTTTGATTCTTTGAAAAGACTTTCTAGAGAGTCAAAATAGAACAAATATCTTATCTAAAAAGTTTTCGATAATCCATTTCTTCTTTCTTTGTTTTAAAAAATCAATCCTTATTTTCATTTTATTTAGATCGTATTCATCCAGCTGATTCATGTAAAAAAATTCTTGAAAATAATCGTCGTATAATAAATGATGATCGTATTGTTCCTCATATTCGTTCATGTTCGGAACCATCACCTATATCACCATATGGTAAAGATATTTATTCATATGGTATTCTTGAAGAAACAATACGTCAAACATTTGAAAAAGAACGTCAACCAATTATTGTTGTACCTGGTTTAATGTTAGGCGCAACAGATAGTAGATCATATACAAATTTATCCAAAAATTTATATCGTTTTTCTCCATTTGTTTATCGTCATGATGATTTAAATCGTCTTCATGGTGATAATGAACGTATAAGACATAATGACATGCAACGAGGATTGAATTTTTATTTTCATCTTATTCTTAACAATCAACTTGAAAATATACCTGAAACAATATTAAATTCAGAGCTTTAGGATTGACAATTTTTGTTTTCTTTGGCTTTATTTAAGTTGATTTTCTTTCTTTTTTGCTAATAATCTTGTGATAGAAAATATTTTTTCCCTTTTTGACTATTATTGATTAATAAAAAAAACTTTTTGAACTTCAATAGTGTATACAAATGATGTAGTTTGACGCATGTCGTTCGATTTAAATATAATACATGGCGATTGTCTATCATCTTGTATTCACTTTCATCTTCAATTACCTTCAACATAGACAACCATCACAATAATCGTTCGATTTCTTTCTCTTTTTTCTCGTGTTCATTCATATCTTGTATTATATTTGTTCGATTGCTTTACACACATGTATATGCTTATCTTTATACTCATTTATTTCGTTTATGCATGATTCGTCGTATCACCTCGATAGTCAACATTACTATTACAATCAATATTTCGCCATTTTCTTTGTTGTTTCGTATGTTACAATTTACTCTCATCGGTACCGCCCTATATATTATATAGAAATGAAATTGAATACCGTCTTGTGGGGTTGATACTTATTCGTATGTCTATATGCGAGTACTATACAAACAGTCAGACATCTCAACACATTCTTATCATTGAACATGAGTCGAACATTGATCCTGGTATCATTTTATCCATCACTGACAACTATCATTCTTTTTTCTTATTATTCTTTCTGAACGAAGTCGACACATCATAAATAATCCGCTCAACTCCTAGTTAAACATTATTACATCGGAAAGATTTTATAAAGGTAAGTCTACACTATTGTATTCATGAGCTCATCAAATTCTGCCTGACTTTTCTTTAACCATTTAAAGCTTATTTTATGGTTCTTTTTTCTTTATATGAACACAAGGACCTTTTCATTCACACATATAAATATCAGCAGATGCGGTACATCTAGATAAAACTATTTTCTTGCTCTTAAAATTACAACTATATAAAATACATAATAATACTGCATAAATCAAAGTATTCTTACATCAGTATTGTGATATGTTTAACAATCTGCGTAACATTAATATGATTCTAACGATCAAGCCATTCCTTGTAACCAAGGTTATATTTATTCTTTCTGTTGAAGATAGCAATTCAATCATTAGTTATAACTCAAGGATGATTAAGATATCTAAATAAAGAGGTAATAACCTTTGACTTTGATTGTGTAAAAACACTTTTTCTCTGCTTTCTTACTACGCTGTCGCATGACGTGATGATAATGACGATGATAATAATGTTTTTATATCATGCTCTTTTCATTTGACCATTTTTTTGTCTTTCTTTTTCGTTTTTAATTTACACTATTAAAGGAAAGAAAATATTCAAAGCATGCAATGATTTCATTTGTTTTATTTGCCTGACGTATCGATATATTTTGATTTTTCTGTCTTTCTTTAGTAATGTCAGTATGATGCATTTGCTTGTAATGTATGTGTAAACGTGTCTAGTTTGTTTACATATAGCTACATATTGCGTTTGTCTTCCATAGATATTTCTTTTACCATAAGAAAAAAGACGATAACAACAACAACAACAATAGCAACAACAATAACAAAGAACAATAAAATGATGGGTATTGTAGAGAACAAGGTATTAAATAGTCAGTCTTTGATTGTTTCTCACGAGTATTGCATTCATCATGTGGTTCAAAATTTCAAGTAGCTGTCTCGTAAAATAAAAAAAAATGCAGAGAATGAAACTTGTACGTAGATGACTTTGTGTGTGAATGTAAAGAAAAATTTGTATGTTGCATTATATAGTATGCATCATACGAATAATTCATCTTGTTATTGACACAGAAGATTTTCAATTACAAGAGATTCAATCATGAAAAAAATAGAAGCGATTGTTCTTTTTTTTCTGCGGCTTTCTTTTTTTTTCTTTATATGTAAATACATTGAGCAATTTTTTTTTCTTTTTAATAATGAAGAGATCTAAGTATGTATGAATAGTGTACGATAATTGGACTGTTAATGAATCAAAATATGAATTTAAACAGTTCGAGTAAGATATACTATTAATCGCGGGTATTGAATGAAAAATGATACACATGTGTACATGGTTTCTTTCTCTTGCTTTCTTATATGTCAAATATATATATATATATATATGTAGATACGAGAAAAATGATATGAAATCGAACGGGATATGAAGATTATCGATGTTCTTTACTTTTATTACCTCTTGTCTAGCAAACGTGTTTCTATGTGTGTTCTTAATGAACATACAAAAGTGAAGTTCAGAGTTCCCCTTATAGAAGTAAAACATTAATTTGATTGATAACTACTATTATATACCCTCCAGAACCATTATATTTCATTGTAAATTAGTATAACGGCTGTTGCTGTTTTTCTTTTTTTTTCTTTTTTTTCTCTCTCCTTGTTATGTTTTTATAGCTCGACGATGGGAACTTGCACATCAACAGCAATACATCGACAGAAGCAGCGACCACAAGAACATAATCGAACAGCATTAAAGAACTCAATTGTCCTTGGTGTTAAATCACCTCCACCTTTGCCATCATTACCATTAGCTGTATTTCCAAATCATCAATATCAACAATCTTATTGTTTATCTACAGATTTTGACACACTATTATCATCATCAACAACAAAACCTATCTTTCATCAAACAGATACAAATAGTTTGATACAATTATATTCTTCTAATACGAATACTAACAATAACAACAATATTAATAATAATAATAACAATAATTGTAATATTATCAGTTGGATGTCATCATCATCGTCTGTACCACAGGTTCCACCTCGAATTCCGGTGCCAAAAACTCGAGTACCTGTCTATCATCTATCACCATCACAACAAACAACCACAATAATAAGACCCAAAAATGTAACATCAACTGTTAGTTCAACTAATCAAACGGGTATGACTAAACGAAAAAAATTCCTGTTGTATATTTTCATCGGACCGTCATATCTTTCTTTCATATATGCAAATGTTATCAATACCACAGGCATCTTGTTAAGATTACGGAGACGAATCTGTTTAGTGTCTCATATTTCCATATATTTCTTTTTTCTTTCTCTTTCTTTCTCATTTTCTTCAATTCTCTTAAAGTGTTGATCCATTCAATAGCGATTGTGTGTGGCAGCTGGACACGCGAGTATAAACGATAGTGTGATTGTTTTTTCGTATCAATCTCAATATGTATATGTATAGTTCTGCGAAGAGAACAGTTGTACACCTATTCCATTTATACCCGAAGCATGGGTCATTCTTTTCTTTGTCTATCTGAAGAAAGAAAGAAAAAAGTCACTGTTTATATATGTATTAAGCAGAGCAGCCCCATGAGTAGTACTTACATATGAGTCATAGAAAGAAAGAAAAAATATAATTCTGCTTCTTTCCTGCGAATAACAACGAGCAGTTTTTTTTTCTATGCTGTTTTTTTCGCAGTGTTGTTCGCTCATTCTCTTTCTTCTAATGCTATGCTTCCTCATCGAACAACGGTGACAAAAATGTATAGACAAAAAAAACATAAGACCGAATGCGAACGAACAAAAAATGTTAAAGTTTATCGAATCGACACTTTTCTCGCTTGAATTTATTATAACTACTTTTTTTTCTTTCGAATCGATAGTCAGTTATGCATAATATTTTGAAATTTTTGTTTTTTAGGTTCTATTAGACCAATGTCAATAACAAATCGTCCACCACCACCAACTACAATGCAAACACGTTTTGGTTTTATACCACGACCAACTGCACCCGGATTACATCAAGCCCAAGCATCAACATATGCATCACGTAGTCGTTCGATTAGTCCAACATCACATGTCAGCACTAATTCATCATCATCATCGCTTTCTTCTCAACGTTTGGCAAAAGCTCAAATAATATCAAAAGCAACATCAAATCGATCTAATCTACCCTCAACAACAACAACAATGACAAATAATACTACTTCTAAGCCTAAAACATTGAGATCTCCTCGTCAAGGCGATTCATCAATATCAAAATCAAATGTTAAATCAAGTGTTCAAGCTCCAACAGCAGCTAGTCGTATGCGCTCAAGAACACCATCACGAACTTCTGCGACATCTTCATCATCATCTATTGCTTCTCCTCCACCTCCTTCTTCTACTCCATCATCATCACAGACCACAGCAGCAGCAGCAGCAGCAGCAACAACAACAATAATAAAAACTGATGTTACTGCTATACGTGATCGTTATAGAACACATCAACGCATGAATTTCTTTACACGTCGTACTCCGTTATCAGCAGCTAATGGTTCACCTGTAGCTGGCTCAATTCAATCACCTGGAACATTGGCTATTAACCAAGAAAATAAACAATCATCATCAATATCTTCAACAACAAATAATTCAGTAAAAACAAGATAACTTTTAAGATTGAAAAAGCATTTTTTTTCTTTAAATAGAACCATGACTCAAAAGTAGTAATACCTCCAGAAATACCTTCATCTCATCATAATGATTCAACCTATGCAAATGTAAAATCTATTTCCAATCAACCTCCATCTGCACATCTTGCTCAAGGGAATAGACATCGACAACGAGCTATTAGCATGTTATCTGCTACATCTGCTATTTCAGATGTACTGAATCAAGATACATTGCTTGAAGATGATAATTGTAGTCTGAAATCAGACGATTTAATGTGTGATTATGATGATACACTCACTATAGATTCTAATAGTAAAAAGTAAGATATTATTTTCTTTTGCTTTCGCATACATTTAAATCTATATAAGAGAAAAAAGAATGTGCGAAGAATGTTTTCTTTTTTTTCCTGTATGTTTTATATGATTACTTGATTCTCTTATGTTTCTTTTTGTCGTATGCTAATATTGTTTACGGAGGCCAATAGCTGATTTATTTCTATGACAAAATACTGAAGAAACTGCATGTTTTTCTTCTTTATTTAAGTGATCGAATAGATTCACATTCAATAGCTTCATCTTCAAATGAAACAAATAAACAGCATAATACAATAATAAGTGTTACACCAACAAAACCAAATGTTTCTCATTATCAACCAACATCAAAAGAACATCGTTCAGTTACTATAGCTAAATGTTCAACAACTACAAATGATAAAACAAATGCTAGTTTACGTGAATCACTTGATGAATTAAATCGATTAAGTAATCGAATGGATCATACTATTGATAATGAACAAAATCGGTAAGAAAATATAAGTATTCAGTTTTTGTTGATATATATGTCAAAAGAAAACATTTATATTTGAAGAAGATTAATGACACGTTCAGTTTCATTAAAACCACCGCCAACATATCTACCACCGCTTGAAGATGCTGAACAAATAACAATGGATATTGAATCTTATCGGCAAGTTATGAAAGATGTTATGGTTGTTAAAACAATTCTTCATCAACTTGATCGATTGCTTAAACATTCCGATGGTGCTAATATGACGGTTAGTTTTATTTGAAGAAAATTTAAAACAGAAAAAAAAACCAAAGAATTTTTAAGGATTCAATGATTGGTTCATGTCATGAATATCACGATCCTATGTTCAGTTCAAGACGTTATTCATCAAGTCTTGGCGATGGAAATACTCGTAATGTTATCGATGAAAATTCTTCTTATGATGATTTACTCAAAGTATGAGAAACAAAAACTGATTGATTGTTTTTTCTAATAAAAAAAATTTATTTAAGGAAATAGCAACATTACGTAAAGAAAAAGAACAAGATAAACAAACCATCAAATTATTACAAGAACAGATGGTTTGCTTCTTTTTTTTTTAATTTTATATTAAATTAATTTCTTTTATTCTTTTTTTTAGTATAAATATTCAAGTCAAACAAATGGATGATGATGATGAGTATTTCGTTATTAATTTGTAATTCTCTTCTGTTTTATTCTTTCTATATTAATGCCTTCTTCTTCTTCTTTTCTTTTGTATAGTTTCTGTTGTCATTTATTTTTATTTTTTAATGTTAATTGACTTTCTAATGAAGATTGTTGATTACTTTTTTTTCTTTTCCTCCATGACAAAAAAAATTTTTTTTGTTCGATTTTTTAAACAAATCGATTCATTTAACAACGAAAAGAGAATAATTTATATTATTGACTTTAATTGATACTGATGAAAAATGAAAACAATATCGATTAGTTTTCAAAATCATTTAAATTGTTTAATATCAAGATCACAATTGACAGCTGTCATTTAACACTAATCATCCGAAGGTAGGATAAATGTGTTATATGAATTCTTCTCTTTCCTTCAAATGTCATATAAATTCATCGGTATTCCAAACAATGACCCTTATGAATAGAACTTCCTCTTTATATTTATTGATTCAACAAGTTGTGATTACAATAGAAGAAGATCAAATTTTGAGGAAATTCTTCGTGTACTTACGTGCATACGCTATCATAAAAAAATTTCTCTTCTTTTCTATGTATTATATATTTATTTTCGATAAAATAAAGATCGTTGACATTTTTTTTCTGTCAATATTAACTTACTGTTTCTAAAATAGAAGATGAAGAATAGGATGATTCATATTTAATCAAAGTTGTTTAATGTTAAGTATACCTTTCTAAAACAAATATTTTTTATTATTCATCTGTTTCATCGTAACTTAAATTAATAGTATTCTAGAAGATAATTAAATTAAGATGATTTGGCGAAAGTTGTATTTGTTTGATTCGACATGCAGCTTTGTACGTGACAAGCGATTTTGCATACTTGTCTGTCTTTCATAGACAAGTCCATATTGGTATTGTACGAAATTGGCAAATTAGAGTGACTTGAGGGAAAAGTCATTGTCATAATTTCAATTGATATTTTTATAAATTTCTCGTGATTACGTGTGAGTGTGAGTATTTCAGTCAAATGATATCTATTTTCTGTTTCACAGATCATTAGATGTTTAATCAAGCATGAATTCAACCATCTGCTAAGTTTCACTCAACGGTTTAAGTTTAATTTACAAATCATTTGGTCCATATCATCCATTTTTTTTTCTTAAGAAATGTCTTCAACCGTATGCAATTGGTCAAAAGCATCATATTGTGAGTCGTTATCATTAGTGAATGCTGTTTCTACGGGTCAAAGATGATTGCTAATGCTCTTTGATTGATGTAACACACGGAATGCATCAAAAAGAGAACTTTTTTTTCTCTGTTTGATGATAGTTAACATTCACGAATGTTAGTGAAAGGAGTAGACAACATTGTTGAATCAACTGTCATCACAAATAATTTATCTAACAGATCGGAGTCAGCAATAGTTTGATCAACGAACTGAAAAGAAATCTTATCGTTTTTTACTGATGCATTACAAATTATTAATAGATAACAAATTATCTTTCATTTTCATCAACTGATTAAAATCTTTCTAGGATAGAACTTGATAATAATACATGTTAAATAAAACTGAGTATTAATTGCTCGCAAATTGTTCGGAGTCAAGATAATGTAAGAAAAAAATCATTTTGAATGATGACGTCTACGGCCATAGTACATAATGCTTGAATCAGTATCGAATAGAGAAAACAATGGGACATCTGTCACCCCAATTGGTTAACGATAATGGTATTCTTGTGTCAGTTTGTCAATTTTTCTTCTTAGTTCGGAAGCATCGTCGACAAACTGTTCACAACATGAAGAATTGTCGAGTTGAATTGCATCTCGATTTGATACGTCAACAGTTGCATCAATGAAGTTCATTGAGTTAGTGTTTTGACCATACTCCTTTGAGATTTCTCAGCGCGCATCTCTTATATCTTGCATTATATGCAGAAAAAATATCAATGAAATTAATTTATGACCTATTATGAACAAAAGAAATCTTTGTTAGATCGAATGCTCTAGAAAAAAAATGACAGAAATTTTCTGTTCTTTAATGTAGGTTATAAAATCCATGTATTCATCGGGATCAATAAATGTACAAACAATGCTGACAACTCGTCATTTTGTGATTATATTACAACAACTATCACTATCTAGCTCGATAAATAGAAAATTTCTAACACTAATTAAACTGTGACTGATCTATGTAGTCTTATGCCGGTGTGTTGAATCAATGTTGCAATGACAACATTTTTCAAACAACTATTTCTTTTTCTTTCACCTTTTTGACAATGGTTCGATTACTGACTGCTGTTTACTGCTTCTTCTTTTTCCTTGGGTTATGTGTCATTTAGAAAAAGTAAAAAAAAAGACTTTCATAATTATCACGTGTGCTGTCAGACTTTACTGTTCTTCATAACATTTACGTATTTTGATTCTTCTAAGTTTCTGTCTTTTTACTACCGTTAAATATATTGTAATGAAAGGTATGAAATACAGATGCTTATGGATACAAACTAAATGATAAAACAATTTTGTTCGTTTCTATTTTCCCAAATCTGTCAAGAGTTTTCTCTGACCCATTTGCAGTATACTAAAGATTTCTTGTTTTCTGATTCATTTATATGTGATCTGATAGAGCTTGATGAGCCGGCCACGAATCAATATCGTTCCTATACTGGTTCAACCGCTGTTTAGCAGTAAAAAAAGTCTAAAACAAAGTTCGAATGAATAAGAATATAATATTTGTAATCGTGAATTTGCTTTTTCTACAGAAAATGTCGATTTGCAACTACACTTATTTTGAAAACTGTTTGAAAATAGTATATTCAGAATCAGCCTAAAAAACTGAGTAAAATAAGTGTATAAGTATTCTTGTAAGTCTATCTATTTTTTTGTAACAAGAGATAGAAGCAAGTGTCTTATCTTATTAAAATTGTCAGATGACAGCCTAACAAAAGTACTCATTTAGTGTTTTTTATAACTTTGTTTTCTTGTTGAGACAATTGACTTTTTTCTTTATTCAGTAACAAAATCAAATAAAAGAGTGAAAACTGCGTCGAATCATATATATTGTAAGGATGTTTTTTTCTGCGAAAAACCGATCCTTGGAAGACTATCGGATAATGTTTCAGAAACATAAACGTGAGGCTGAACATAAATGTATTTTTCATCGGAAAAATTTTTTACTGAAACATTTGTGATTTCATACAATGTTTGACGCTAATTCTGAATAGAATATCTATTTCACTTTTTGACTAATAGACCATGACAGTAAAAATCCCTAAGTGCAAACGCATTCTTTCATTCTTTCGTCTAATGTTAGTATCAAATGGGAAAAAAGTCAATTTCCTCAACAATAAAAACAGAATCTAAAAAAAACTAAATAGGCATTTTTGTAGCTTGCGATCTGGTGATTTTAATGAAATAAGACACTTGCCTCTATCTCTTGTTACAAAAAACTAGATAGGTTTACAAGAATGCTCACAAGCAGGTGCTCTGGGATACGTTGCAGCTATCTGTATTGAACGGGATTGCAATTGAAATTTCACGATTTCTGTATAAAAACGACTTGAAATAAAAACTAGATATTCGTGATTAGCTCGTAAAGCTCTATCAAATCATATATAAATGAAAAATAAAAACAGTTCACTTGAGTTGTGCATTAGAGGTACTTTACTATATTGTATTCATTCGAAGTTTTTAACATTTTATAAGTGACCGAGAAAAAAATCCACTTGACTTTTGCATTTCCGCAATCTTGTCTATAACAGTAAAAAGTTCACAATTTTTCTTTCATATGCTCTTACAGTAGCGCGCATAAGTGCATCACCGACAGAAGAAACAAAAGGGTGCAAGAAGTCACACACGAGTACTAGTTGTATCATATAGAAGAATGTTTAGTAACATAAAAATGTGTTTCAACAAGTTCCTTATTCAACTTAGACTTACGGCTTTTGATCAATACTTTTATAGAATCTGGAGAATTGTGACTCCGTCAATAAAATATTGCTCATTAGCGATAGCAAGATCAACTTCTTGAATGCTGACGTGAGTCGCGTGATTTTTTTCTAACTAATATCGGAACCTATGCTACTCAATATAATATTGATCAATATACTTTACTGAAGAGAACATTTTGTTAACGGTAATCATTGTACGAGACTGTTTAGATAATGATTTTGTATAAAAGTTCCCGGAAAAGACAAGAAATATAATCTGTTGTTTCATTAATAGTTTATATCTATTAATTGATTTTCAGAAGAAATCTAAAGACTCGTACACTTTTAGAAATTCAGTTTCATATACAATGCCTCGTATTATTTACCGATTCTACATGAATTCCAGAATGACTTCAAGATCTTCGACTGACACATCAACAAACATTCTAGACGAATAAAGCCAAACAAATATTTACAAAAATTCATTAAAAATTCTTTATTATCATAAATGAAATAAAATTAATAAAAATATTTTGAAAGTTTGTATTTTTATGATAAGAACAATAAATATTTCGCATATTGCTCGGCAAACATATGGTTTTTAGTTTTTCTATTTTTAAAATAAACTTTTTCTTTACTATGAGAAACACCATTCTCTCATTAAACGTTAATAAGCATTTCTAATCGATCACTCACTATTTCCTCTAACCGTTTATATAACAGGCAAAATTTCTCTTCATGCAACTTTCCGTTTCTTCAATTTTTTTATATAACACAAAACGGCACTCGTTCCAATTACGGACAAATAAGAGTTTTTCTTTCTTTTTTTCTTTTCCGTCAACATCGATGAAAAAAACGTTCAATTGAATATTTCAACTCAATCATAATCATCGTCAGTCATTTATTTCACTAACAATCTTGTATGGGTAATACAACATCGGAAGTTGCTTCTGGCGTTAAGGCTCAAATAAATTCAGGTGGACAAGGACCTGAACTTTATCGTTTTGTTGATATGACAGTGAATATATCTTCTTTGTTATATAAATATTCAACGAAAAAAGAAAACCATATTTAG